GATAAAGATTGTTCAGGCGGCGAAGAGGAAACAACCAGCAGGAGACGGAGGAAAAGCCGTCGGGATCCTCTACCAAGCGAAGAAATTGGTGCCGTCAGCAATGGACGTGTTCTACCACACACGAGTAGGTCAAATATATTTACTTTATTTCCTTAATTGCAGGATTTCAATTAAATGATTTCCTTAATTAAAGTACAAAAGGTCCAAAATACCCTTAAATGATTTATTTAATTATTTGTTATTTCTTGAATTCTCATTGGTGCATTTAGGCACGCAATAGTTGCTAAAAACATTTGAACCTATCTCTCTCTCTCTCTCTCTCTCTCTATATATATATATATATATATATATATATATATATATATTTATATATATATATATATATATATATATATATATATATATATATCATACATACTTATAAAGCTAGCATTTTTTCTTGAATCTCATGCATTTGACTCCCCCTTTTTTAATTTCCTCAAACCTCATTCATTTGAAACCCCCTTTTTTAACTAATGCAACTCAAAGGTTTTCTTAATTATGATTTAACACTCAAAAGTTTTATAACTTATATTATGTTTAATTAGCATTTAGTGAAAATTTTACTATAAAAAGGTCAATCTTTTGTGTCTTTTGTGTTATATAAAATCTTACATGTAAGAAAGATTTGAAGATATTATGATTCAAAATTTTTCATATAGTTGAAGCATTCACGATCCAAATATGATGATTTGAAGAAATGGGTTATGTCGCATCGATGGTAATTGTAATATGATTTTTTCTAACAACCAAAACAAATGAAGCTTTTCTATTTTTTCTTTATATGTGATTTGTGTGTATTACTCAATCTTGAATGTGGCTCTCCAAACATCAATGTTTTGCTTGGAATATCTTTCTGATTCTTTTTTTTCAAGAAAAATATTTTGATTGCAGGTTAGTGAAGAATTGTCATCAAGTTTCTATGGTTGAATGTTGTTAAATGAAGAAAGAAGATTCATAAAATGGATATAGGTTTTTTTGTTTGAGCAAAGTTGACGAATGTTAGTTTTTTCTTTTGATTTAAATGTATGTTTATGTAACATTTTTATTTATATATTCAACCACCAAATGCTCTTATTTATTTGATTGTTGTTTTTATATTTTGATTATGTTTATTTTTTATTGTTTTTTTGTTGGGTTATCCTACACAACATATTTAAAAGACAATATTTAAAAGATAACATAATTTTGAATATTTGATATGTAGTTATGATAGACTCATCATGATATGTTCTTCATATGAAAGTAATTTATCCATATTACTACGACAAGAATTACATATGACATTTACGAAAATATATATATTATATGTGATTTGTTTAACATTTATATGCCCTTATGTATGTTATAAATTTATAATTAAATATCTTTATGTTTAATAATTGAAGGGATTAAAATGATGCATCAAAACCAATTATTTAGACGAATATAATAATAATAATAATAATAATAATAATAATAATAATAATAAATATACATTTCCAAGTACCGCATTTATTTGAAACTCACACTACAACTCAAGAGTTTTCTAATTTATGTATATTTATTAGTTACAACTCAAGAGTTTTTAACCTATAATTATTAATTAGTAATCACTAATAACTTTTTATTTTCCTTTCTTTTATAAGGTTGTAAAGTTTTGCTCATTAAAAACATTAATATATTTGAAGAGATTTGTGATTTAAATATGAAGAGTTAATATAAATGTTATAATAGATGTTTTAGTGTTTTTATGTTATTAAAAGTTATAGTGTTTATTTTTCATATTTTTTATTATTCGTTGTATATATATCTTTTTTAATATAAATGTTATAATAGATGTTTTTCTATTTTTTATGTTACTAAAAGTTGCAGTTCATATTTTTGTTCATACGTTTTGTTACCCGTTATATTATCATCCATTTGATATATAATTTACACAATTTTAAACGGTTTATAAAATTATAAAATAATTGTATATATCACAATGACTTAAAAATTAAACTATAATGTTTAATAAAACTAATATGTTAACTATATGTTTGCTTTACTACTAACATTTTGTTTCAAAGTAGAAATATAAAATAATAATTTGATAAAAGTTATTATTTTAACTATATAATTATATTTTCGCGCAACGCGCGAGGATTCGCCTATTATATATATATATATATATATATATATATATATATATATATATATATATATATATATATATATATATATATATATATATATATATCTATATATATATATATATATATATATCAATGTTCTTTTTAATTTGTTTTAAGTCTATATGGGAAGAGTGACTAAAAGGGCATTTTTATCTAACATTTTAATGGATTTAAAGTATATAATTTTGAGTCCTAACTTTGATATATATAATTACAATAATTCAATTTAATTTAGTTAAACATTTTAGTTGGTTAGTTTAATTTTAGTTGGCTGGTTTATCTTGGGCTCAGTTGCTATGTGTTTCTCTCTTGTTCCACTTCTTTTCTGTCCAATGGAATTTTTCCAAAAATCTCTTCCCACCGCTTTCTCATTGTTCTTTACCGATATTGAGGGTTTGTAATTTGTATTTTTGGATCAGGTTATTTTTAAATTTATGACTGATTTCAAGTATTCAATCAAGAATTTGCTTATGGGTTCTGAAAGTCTTTGTATTCAGGGTGTTTTTATAACATCTTCATCTTCATACAAAAATCAGATAAACGTTTTCAGTTTTTCAGTTAAATTGGGATAAAATTTGTACGCATTCATAACAGTTCCATTTGAATTAGTTGAACGTGGAGTTGTTTTCCTTAAAAGCAAACTACTTGGTAGAAATTTACAATTTTGAATTTTATGTATGCTATATAGGTCTTTCAACATGTTGGTATGCAATCTTTATCCTGCTTAACAATTATAGCCTTGCAAAATTGGCGAACCTCAATGAGAAAAAATTGAGGCCTAGTTTGAACAGATGATTTAACCATTTAATGGCATGTTTGAATGTATTACAAGATGGATGAACATTGTGCTCCAACCTAAAATTGAGGTCTTAACTCTTGCATAATAACATTTATTTTTGGTTTTAATTGCAGATGAATCTGAAACAGACAGCCAGGAATCTGATGTTAGTGGTTTAGATGAGGATGATACATCTTTGTTTACATGGTTTTGCAATTTGCAAGGAAATGAATTTTTCTGTGAAGTTGATGATGAGTTCATTCAAGATGATTTCAACCTCTGTAGGTTAAGCTGTCAAGTTCCTTATTTTGCTTATGCACTTGATCTAATCTTAGATGCAGAATCTTCTCATGGTAAGTTGTATTACTTTTTCTAAATCTTGGATATTCTTTAGTATACTTTTTTTTAACAATTTCTCTCTTTCTTAAGTTAAGGGTGTTACGTCCGTGAGAACTAACATAAATGAGTAAAATCTATTAACTTTATCTATATAACTATACAAGTTGAAGCTATGAGTTTCTGAAAGAGCTAACTATTTTGACCCATATTTCAAATAATGAAAATGTGTTCCTACTTAGTTGCATTTAGTCCTTAAGGCGTGTTTGGTTTGTTTATTACTATGGAACTCGGATTGAAATTCTATTCATTGGAGTGTCAATTCCGTCAAAATCCTTAAAACTTTTTATTTTTAATGTAATTTGAAGCAAAAAGTTTAGAAAAGTCTTTTTTTTTAATCATAATCTTTACATTGGTGTTACTAGATATTTATTTTATGATACCTGGATTTTGTTATAAACTTAATTGCAGGAACCCGTTAAATCTTTACTAGGGTACTTGAGAGTCCACTGCCGATGCATCAGAATTCTAGAAGGCATACCAGAAAGCAACATTAATTAAAACATCATTCTGATACCAATTTCCAATCCGAGTTAAATGGTTGGCTTTGAATCCATGTTTCTTTCCCAGTTCTTCTCTTTGTTCACCTCTTTCTTCATTGTTTTGTTCTCTTTTTGTTTATTCTAGCAGCTCCAGTGGCGGACCTTAGTGGAGCATTGAGGCTCCCGAGCCACTGCTCAATTTTCGGCACGTAGTGTATATTTTTTTTTCTATTAGGTGCATCGGCTTGAAGTATGAGGGACACCCCTACTAAAACAGTTTGCGTCCGCCACTTAGCAGCTAATTGAAAAATCTTCACAAATATCTTCAAAAAGGAGTACCGATATACTTTAAATAATGACTTTTTCAATATTTCATTGTTCCCAAAAATGGCCTGTAGAATCTGTTAAGCCTATACGTGACAGCCAAGACCTCTCCATTGGCACATGCAAAAAGTGGAAAGGTGTCCGTGTGTTTCAATTTCTAGCCTAACAGTATCAGGTGTTAATGAAAAAGTGTCCCTAGTCGTAGGTTGAGAGTTATAATCGGACATGAGACGATATATGTAGTTTAATAGTATATATAGTAGGATGTGTTTAGCACTTGTAAAAAAATAGCATTTGCAAACCAATGCCATAAACCACCAGAAGCTAGCATTTGCAAACACATAAGAAAATGCTAAATGAAAGGTAAACGACAATAGTTAACATGTTGGGCTCAAAAGGACCACACACACACAAAAAAAAAACGATGCATATTCGTTCTAGAACTACTCTTGACCTTTAAAACACATGAACTCTCTCGTTTTCAAAGTTTCGGAGCCTATGAAAGCTAGGACGATAAGCAAATCCTCTGAAGTAGCAATCGAATGTTTACGGGTCTACAATTACATTCCTCCGAGGACAGTAAACAAATAGTGTGTCGCTATAAGATGCCATCAAAATAGTTCCATCTTTTAAACCCTTAATTATATACCAAGGTTCCAAAAACGGCAAATCAAGATCATAGCTGATACTTTGCTGGATCACCAATTCTTTATACCAAGATTTCTTGATCCCGTATTCCTTCATCTCCCAAACCGTGAATTTGGAAAGGTAAGTATCGCATCGACATAAACAACCCTTTATGACCCCCAAGCATTCTACTATAATTTATTCGTCTTCTATAGCTTCAGGAGGGGAGGGGAACATCTCAAATGTCTCGTTGTCAAAATCAAAAGCACAAAGTGTTTCAGGGGAATCCTCATCAAAAGCAATCCAATGAGTATGGCCGTTTAAAAATGGCCCATAGGTTCCGTTGAGACAGTATGGTACATGACCTAGACTTCTCCATTGCCCAGTGCCAAGGGTGTAGACCTCTGCTTCTAATAGGCTTGGCCGACATGGTGAGGTAGAATCTTCAGGTATTTCCCCTTGAAAAATCCGTATCACTTTGTATTCCTGTGTAAGTGATCCAACACCAAAACAATACACTACTATTATTGCAATATCATTTTTGTAGAATTGTTGCATGGGGAGAATCATATATTCTCTGGTGACTGGATTGCATATGTAAGTGTTATCATGTTGAGGACCACACTGCCACAGGCAGATCAAGCCGTTGACTGAGCCCACTGGGAGTATTTCAGACCAATGGAAAATGGGTGCAATAGTAAGGTCAAGGCTCATGACAGGGTCGTGGTGTAAATGGTGGTGATCGAGTTCGTCTTCCACCTCCACCCATTTCAAAATGCCTGCTGCATGATAACCAGTCATTTGATTTCCAGAAGCATGATGAATTATGAGAATTTCAGGTGATCATAAGATGTAAAGATTGACAAAGTAAGAGTCTGAAACGAGATCCAGCCACTTCTTGCATACACATTTGCAATGGATGATGGTCTTCACAGGAAGTCTTGAGAGAATGTCGACCATGATAGGTCCAGGCAAGTCTTCCACGGATGGATCTCGGGAAAGAAAGGGAGGTGAAGGAAAATATTCATTATTCCGTGTTCCCGAGTTCGAAGGAAATGAAAAGAAATGAAAGGAAAATTTTAAGTTTTTGTGTTCCCGAGTTATGGGGAAAAAGAAAATAAAACTAAAAATTTTCCTTCCCCTCACTTTCTTCCTAAATCTGTCCAATTTGGGAGGAAAATTTGGAAGGAAAATATAACTCCAAAATCCTTCCCCTCCCCTCACTTTCCTTCCATTAATGAAACTCGGGAACACGATTTTCCTTCGACACCCCTCACTTTCCTTCCGTATCCTCCCATTTCTCTCTTTAAGTGGAACTCGGGAACAAGGCGTAAACTTTTATCACATCATACGTTACTCTCCACATAATATTATTTTGTTATGAATACCAATTTAATTTCAAGAATTTTTTTCTGAGTTTTTTTTCTTATTTTTTCAATAAATAATAAAAATAAATTTTATAATTTTATAAAACATTCCATTTAAATAAAAATCTACTATTTACATAAAAACATAACATTTAAATTGAAAATAAAAACATCACAAGACCATAAAAAAGTTACGATAAATTAAAGACAGTGATCCTAACAATTTAAAATTTATCTTTATTATTATTTTTTTTTGCGAGTTTTCGCTTTCAACGCTTGCACCACTTCAAAATCTTCGGTGTTTGTCCTAAGAATTACCAAGTCATTAATGAGTTCTCCTAGCACTTGTCGCTCATGCTCAAGCGTTTCTTTTCGTTGAAGTATTTCCAAGTCATCACGTATCAAAACACGTTTTTTCTTGTTGTAGTATTATGTGTTCCTGGAATTTCGTTGTGACTTCTATCATATGCTTTGTTTTTCTGTCACTTTTCCTCCACATGTTGTTCACGCGCATCGCTTTGTCACTTCATATTCGGCACCGAAGAGGGGAGATCTCTTCAATGTCATCCATAATTTCATTTATGTCTTCGTTAAGGTCGATGTGAGTGTAACATCCCGTTTAAAATATAGTAAATGAATAATAAACCCGAAACCCCGAGAAGCAATTATTATTATTATTATTATATATGATTATAGTCCAAAATCAAATAATAATTATCGGAATGTTAGTTTCGGGGGTTAAAGAGTAAATATTGGACTTAATTTGAAAGGATCTTGGATGGCTGGGGCTAAAAGGGTAAATGATGTACCTAAGTTGAAAATAATTGGTCGTGGAGGGGCCATATGGTAATTATTTGGACTTAATATGTAAGGGTTTTCAGAAGGGATGGTTTAGATTGTAAATTAAGGATTTAGTTGAAAGAAAAGAGGGAAAGAGGGACCATTTGGTCATTATGGATGTAAGTTTTGAGGGGCGGGTATTTAGCTGTTCACCACCCCGTAACCCTAACCCTAAACCCTTCACACCAGCCGCCACCATCATCTCATTTCCGCCATTCTCCAGCCGCCACTTCCATTGATGCTAGGTCCGTCGCCGCCTCCTTACCAACCGGTGTCGCCGGTCGAAGCCAACAATTGGTGCAGCCACGACAGCGACGAGGAATCTCAAGTGACGTCGGTTTAGTGGGTCGCCGGACCAAATAGCGTCGCTGCTGTCGAGTCGTACTCCGGTGGAGGCGCAACCTCCATTCTCCACAGCAGCAGCTTTCTTCTACGACCTCTGTCGCCGCTGTTGGAGACATGGGACAACCGAGAAGCCATCGTGTTGTCTCACCGCCAATGAAGACAGAGATGCCGCCATCCGACGTGTTTCAGTCATGGGGATCAAGGCCGACAACCGTGGAAACCATGGTGGTTTACGGGTTGTGACGAGGTTACGTGTGTGTGTGTGTGGTTTGCTGTCCAGTGGAAGGCGTGAAGAACTACCATGGCAGTCGGCCATGGTGGCTGCCACCGATAACGAGGTTGTTGCTGTTGTTCCGTCGTTTACCACCCCGAAGAGTCGCCGTGTTCATGTTTCACGAGGGTACAAGTGTACTGCTACTTCGAGTTTGTGTAGTGTGTATGTGTTATTTCATGAAGTGGTGTTTGGGTGTTTATTTGACCGGAAAAGCCACCACCACCACCGTGAGGTGGTGGCTACCACCATATACCACCACCGGCCACCACAAGGTGGTTGTGTGTGTGTTGGGGGGGGGGTGTTAGCTTACTGTGTGTGTTATTTGGGTTTTGTGTTGTATGATGTATCGATAAAGGATAATGGAAAAGAAAACGCTAACCACCACCGTAGGGTGGTGGCTGCCGCCACCAGCCGCCGTGTTGGGTGGTGGTGTGCTCCGTTTGTGTTTTGGACTCGTTTGGGGATGCTTGGACAGAAGTGGGCCCAAAGAAACCCTAATGGGCCCAATAAGGCCCAAAGTGACCTAAAAGCCCAACCAATTGACTAATGGGCTAGTATTGGGTTAGAAAACCCTAATTAGGGTTTGGAAAACCCTAATGGCATAAAACCCTAATTTGTGGGAATTGATCGGGACACACGTGAATTATTTAATAAACTTGAAATATTAATTAAGGATCAAGTGCAAATTAACCTAAAGCAATATTGGACTTAGTAGATTAAGTCCTTAATGGGTTAAGTAGGAACACTTAACCCTAATCGTCATTTCATGTGAAAACCCTAATTTCACATGGGTCTTGAGTTGGGCCTTCCTATTGGGCTTTGGCGATTAGACTATTGAGGGACTATCCAAGAACAAGTTGATGTACCAAAATAATTAGATGGGCTTTAGGATAAGGCCCATGCGAGAGACTTGGGCCCAATTTACAAAATTGGGCCATATTTGGGCCTTAAGATTATGTGATTTTGGGCCATGGGAATTGGATTAGAATAATTGGATGGTCCTTAAGGAAAGACCATGTAGAGGTCTGGGCCCAATTTGGAAAATTGGGCCATATGTTGGGCTTTGGCCCATGATTTGACTTTTGGGCTTTTGTAGTGTGAGTTGGACCTTGGGCTTGGAACCCAATTATTAATTGGGTATTGTTTGATGTTGACAGTTTGGGAATCTGTCAACCAGCAGCGGGAGCTTTACCTGCGGGACTTCAGCAGTGCCAGGTGAGTTATCCTCACTATACTAAGGGGTCTAAGGCACCAAGGCCGGCCCATTGGATTTGATATCCTAGTAGTTATTGATATGTTGAGTTTGAGTTAGTGATGTATGCCAGTTGATATGCTAGTCTGGTAGATCTATAGGACTACCTGTGATACTGTATGATTATCTGTATGTGCATTAGTTATGTTATATGTCGACATGTTATGAGGGATGGGTTGAGGTTGTACTGCTCTGTGCGGTAGCCAACAAACCCTAGAGTATTCCAGATATGAGTTGAAGGTCGGGCAAGGCATGCCAGACTCATACTGAGGACTCGGGAGTATTCCAGATATGAGTTGAGGGCCAGGCAAGGCATGCCAGATTCATACTGAGGACTCGGGAGCATTCCAGATACGAGCTGAGGGCTGGTTAGGGCATACCAGACTCGTACTGTGGGCTCGGAGGCAATCCAGATGTGAGCTGTGGGCCTGAAAGGCAATCCAGACTCACACTATGGGCCAGGGGTAATTCAGTCTATAAAGCTGTGGACCGTTTATGACATTGCTGACATGGTTATGTGGACTTTATGTGTATCGGTATTTTGGGGGTAACTTACTAAGTTTCGTGCTTACGGTTTCAGTTTATTGTTTCAGGTGATTCAGATGAATTGGCAAGGCGAAGGCGTGACCATACACATCCTCGTATTTTGGACTTATGGTTTCTGGGATACTCTGATATTAAACTGTTTTGAAAACATTTTGTAATAACTAATGGGTTTTGAATTATTTAAAAAGTTTTAAATTGGCTTGAATTTTACGGGTGTTACAAGTTGGTATCAGAGCCTTGGTTTGAGTGAATTGGAGGAACACTTGTGTGAATCCAGTCTCAAACTAAGGAAAAGATTTTCAAAATGTTTTTTTAAAAGGTTTTCCAAATATCAAAAGAGGATGCAGGGTGTACGATCAGTCGGAGCCAGTATGTAGACCCCAAAATACCATACAATTATTGACATTGTGATATGTTCGAACAGCATGCTAGTACTAGGCTAAGGATCTTTAGGAATTGCATTGCCTGATTATATGATGCCTGATAGCCTAGGATTTTTCTTTATATGAAATTGACATCATTATTGTAGTTGCTTAGTGTATGCATCACGGCCGTACATAATTAAGATCTTATAGCATGAGAATGTTTGGTTTGGCCTTATTTCCTATTCTTATTTGATGAAGGGCTTAGGGTAGGATCAGGTATTCGAAAGTCTATAGGGTCCAGTGTTATGTATGGTTAGCATATACTAGTACTGCAGGGTTGGTGGAAGTTTCATGGATGGGTGGGTTGTGTGAGGTCGGTAGGCCAGTTATGAGATATTTAGCATTCCTCTAGGAGTGAGGATTGAGAGCTCGCTATGTTTATGTATATTTTTAGGGTGTTGTGGTGATACTTGAGACAAATATGGGTAGGTGTGGAAGGTAGTATGGGCCCGTACTACTGAAATCATAGGACCCATACGCGTAGCAAGGAAGACACACAACCCCTAGAGTTGGTTGGGAGTTGGTTCCCTGTTAGCATATGGGTTATCGGAGATCTTTCTAGTGTATTATCAGAATGATGGTTACGAGACGTTTCTGAGGCCGGATTCGGATCAGGACCGGGAGCTGGTGGCCAGGATAAGCCAGTATTGTCAGAGGATCGTTTCAGTGAGATCATCCGGGAGGAGGTGATTGAAATTGTTTGGGGTCAGATTCTGGAGATGTTTGGGTCTAATGAGATTGCCATGGTTGAG